TGCCCTTTGTTTAATGCTGATGCAACTGATCGAGAAGTGAATGCAGTAGATTCAGGTATGATCTTATGATTTTTTATTAACCACTTTATTAATTATTGATCAATATACAAGTGGGCAGGTTGAACTCAATCACTTCAGAGATGCATTATTAAATTCTGATTGTTTGTTTTGCTACAGAAAATTCCAAGAACATGTTGCATGATATGTGGAGGTTAAACCAACTAGATCGATCCACTGTTGATCCCACTCATCCTTACTGCAAATTCAGCACAGGTAATAACCGCATTGTGAAGATCATATCATATGCATAAAAAAATGACATAGTTTTGCTCCTCTGCAACTGTCATTAGTTTTGGTCACAGATCCTCACTTGCAATGTCCACTAACAGCTGCTCACACTAATTCAATATAATTTTTTGGAAATTATTGYAAGATACAGTACTACTGTGTTCTTTGATTTCAGTCTCAATTTGCTTAGCCTGGGTTGTATCTGAACACAGCTCTTGTTTAGTTGYCAAGAGTTTTTTTTCGGATGCAACGTAGACTTTTGCTCTGACAGTGTTGTCACATAATGCCAGTAAAATTAAGAATACAAAAGTTTTAAAATTCCGCAGAACTTCACTGTCAACACATGAATATTATACATATCTTATGAATCAAGGATAACCCAGAGCAACAGAGAATTCAGGTTATCTCAAGTCTAATATAACTTATGCTGCTCTTTTGTTGTATCTATTGTGACTCTTTCAGTCTAAAGATTGTAAAGCTGGTATTGGGATGCCAGCTGTGGAATTCAAAACAGGAGTACTTAAATCCACATTGACATTATACATAATATATACAATATGAGTGGCCRTGTTGTATCAGATATACAAACTCAAGGCGTAGCCGAGCGTTTGTATATCGGATATAACACGGACACTAATACTGTAGATTGCTTGTCAAACGTTTAGTTTAGTTCCTTTGTGTTTTAAAATTAAAGTGAATCTAGCCAAGAAAATCCAACTTAAAGTTTATGCAAATGAACACAATTTTGTATCAGATTTRCRACACTCTTCACGGTCGTGATTTCTGTAGTGGTTTCCTCGTGAATTATTAGTGAGTTTGACAAATGTATTTATTATTTAGGAAATAAAGTAACACTAGATACCAAACCAAAGGAAAGGGGTATAAATGTGCATGATGAGCTTCTAAAGTTCCACTCAACTTATTACTCTTCAAACATCATGGCTCTGTGTATCCTTGGAAGAGGTACAGTATGAATAATAATACTTGTCTCTCCTGACATTATAAAATCAACCCTAATTAATTCAAACTGCTTAGAGCTGTGTGACGAGCTGTTCTCTGGGGTCATGCATGGGCTTTATAGTGGCTGCCAGGGGTGCCTTCACATACTTTCAGTTTGCCCTTGTTGAGCTGCGCCTCTGCTGTACTTTGTAGTGCTCATAGGTATATAAGGAATACAAGGCTCCACCTGGCATAACTACTGCCTMACTACGATAAGGAGATGACCCCTTTGAGGCAAAAGATTAACCCAATTAATGTTTTTTATTTTCGATCAGAATCATTAGATGAACTTACAGAACTTGTAGTGAAATTAATGTCCAGCGTTGAGAACATGAATGTTACTATACCAACCTATCCAATCCATCCATATGGCAAGGACCAAGTACAGGTGATAAAAATGTTTTGCATAAGACTCGAATGTACATTATAGAAAAATAAGTACATGAATCTTTGATTTGACAACATAGGAATCTGCTGAATAGGAATCTGTTATGAATTATAGCTGATCTTTTGTTTTCTCTCTTCTTTTTGATTCTAGAAAATCTTCAAAGTTGTTCCTGTTAAAGACCTGAAGAACCTAAACCTGATGTTTCCAATACCAGATATGAGTGAACATTACCATTCAAAGGTAAAAAAGCTGATTGAGAGCCATGAT